TTCTCTCCTAGCCCTATACATTTCTGAAGGTGGTGTTTCCATCTAACTCTTCCCTGAAGGTTTCTGGGCTCTTTGATTTACCTTGTCAAAACGACAATTTCATCATCTTTGAGGGATTCAAATTGTGTTCCTTTAAAACGTTCTTTAATTTTGGGGGAAGAAAAAGAAGTCTGAAAGATCAGGGCCATTGGATGGATGGGGCAAGAGTTCCAAGTTCTCTAAGGACAGTCCTTGATACCCATGAAGCATGAGCAAGTGCTCTGGGCTGCTTGGAAAAAGACATTCCTTGGTGCAACTTTCCTGCCCCTTTTCTAACCAATGTGGTTTTTAATTTTATTAAAACATCTTCATAGTAAGCCCCTTTCAATCTATCTACTTTTGTGTCCTCCTGTTAGTAAGTCATTTTTGATTTGTGAATTAGTATACTGGTAAGTAATGATGTTCCAATGTACTGACAAAATGAGTTTTTTTTTTGTTTTTTTTTATGGGGTATTTGATGATGGACTATTTTGTTTAAGTGGAAGAAAATGTATTTTGCACAAGATTCTGAAGAATTGAATGTGGAATGACAGAGGGAAAAATACATGCAGTCAGTTTCCAGGATGGAGGACAATAAGGACTAGCTAAGAAATTATTTTTACGCATTTGGAAGGGGCATTTGATTACTAGTATTCCTTTATCCTGGTGTGGCGCAGTGGGCTAATGCATCAGACTGCAAAGTCACTTGAACTGCAAGGTCGGTGGTTCAAGCTCACCAGCTGCTTCTTGGAAACCCTACAGGGTCGCTATGGGTCAGAATCACCTCGACAGCACTTAACAACAACAACAACAGTCCTTTATCCTGGTGTGGTGCTGTGGGTTAATACGCTGGACTGCAAAGTCAGCTTAAACCACAAGGTTGGTGGGTCAAGCTCACCAGTCGCTCTTCGGAACACCTATTACAGGGTCACTATGAGTCGGAGCCGACTGACCATGCTTCACAACAACATTCCTTTATCCTGTTGTGTGCTTTCTAAGTGTAACACTAAGCTTACCTGAGTGGGTGGAAGCAGGGGGTAGAAGTGTGAACACTTACTTGCAGGTGCTGCTTGGAGAAGTTGAGAAGTGCTTAACTCAGGAGCAGGTGCTTAAGGCAACAACAAACAATGGCATAGAGTCTGTTGAAGTAGGAGAATTGTAGAGGAGGGCAGCAGGCAGGAGAGGACCATGAGATGCACCTGAGGGCCTAGCCAAGAACTGATTCAAGGCTAACCAGTGGCTTCAGAAAGGGGGTTTAGAAAGAAGGAAAGTCACCAAACCTGTTACAATAATAGCATCAAAATTCAATGTAGATGGGTAAGAAGTTCAGAGGATAAAGAGTCTAAGTCAGACCAGGAGTATGGGTCACCAGGTACAGAGGGGTTTAGTTAGTCATTTTTAAGGGTACAACCCGGTGCCATTGGTACATTTCACCATGCTGTGCAACCATCCCCACTATCCATTTCCAAATATTTTTCGTCACTCAAACAGAAACTCAGTATCCCTTAAGCAATACCTCCCCATTTCACCCACCTCTAGCCCCTGGTAAATACTGTTAAACTTTTGGTCTCTATCCATCTATGTAGCCTAGATAATGCATATAAATGAGGCCATCCGGTCATTGTCATTTCGTGACTGACTTAATTCACTCAGCATAGTGTTTTCCATGCTCATCCATGTGGTAGTAAGTATAAGCACTTCATTTCTCTTTATGGCTGAATAATGTTCCATTGTATGTACACACATTTTATTTACCTTTTCAACTGTTAATGAATCAGCACTTCCATTGATTGTACTTTTTGGCTTTTTTCAGAAACTACATTTTAACCTATCGGCATTGACAGTTGAGTTTGAGAAGCACTTTTATATAGCACATTCGGTTCCAATCCCCTTATTCTGCTTTGCCCAGCTTCTGCCTACGGACCACCTACGAGCCTTCTGGAGTAGTCCAGCCCAACAGCTCAGCTGTTCCATCTTTATGTCACCACTCAGTGTCTTGATGTTGGTAACGTGGTGTTTTCTTGTGACCCTTTCAGGTTATTCGGTCTTGACATTAAGGGCAGGGACTGTGGCGACGAAGCAGCTCAGTGGTTCACCAACTTCTTGAAAACAGAACCTTTCAGGTTGGTTCAGTTTGAAGCACACATGAAGGGGAGACCATCAGGGAAAATCTTCTCTCCTTCCGTACAGAATTATGAGGTGAGCTTGCTGAGGGTTTCGCTTCGCTACTAGAGACACCATTTTCTATCTGGCTCTGCTTTGCTGATGAAGTCTGTCTTGGGAAGCCAGTTAGAATGGCCTGGGTGCATAATAATGGGGACGTAACCTTGGCAGAGATACTAAGATGGAGAAGGAAGAGCGAGATCTCAAAGTTGGAGTCTCTAGGGCTTGAATATTGGTGGTGTTGTTATGTGTCGTCGAGTTGGTTCCGACTCATAGCGACCCTGCATAGAGTTTCTGAGGCTATAAATCTTCACGGGAGCAGAAAGCCTCATCTTTCTCTCACAGAACAGCTGGTAGTTTCGAACTGATGACCTTGAGGCTTGCAGCCCAATTCATAACCACTATGCTACCAGAGCTCGATGCTATTAATTATTTATTCAATAATATTTAAATGAGGATTTTTGTGTGAATCACATCAGGACTAATTGGGGGGGGACTATTTTGGAGGGAGAAGCCAAGGGCAACTTCCTCGTTTCCAACTTGAAACAGTCAGATACATATAGAACTCAGAAGGAAACTGGTGTGGGAGACAAAAATGAAAAATGTGTTTGGGACCGAATCTAGCTACCCTGAAATTACAAATCAAGAATTTCTCTAGACATTTCCTTCACAGTCAGTGTGGTATGGTTATTTCAGGTGCTGGAAAGGCATCTTGTCCTAAAGAATACTGTCCTCTCTGTAGACCTAGACCCAAAGACCAACACTGATTCTGCAGTTATATAAGGTGTAAATGCTAAAGTTTACTTGGGAAGTTTCTTTAGAAAGTTTCTTTAGTTCTTTAAGAGCAGGTTTTTTGTTTTAGTTTATGATTGCTTAAGTTTTATCCCAATTAGATAGAATTCAGAAACAAAGGAAGACTGGGATATTCTTCTAAATTGGGTTACTCATTTTGGACAGCTGAAAGTAGTTTATTGTTCTCATTATCTGTCACCTAGGCTCCCTGACTCTGGTAGCATAGTGGTTACGAATCAGGTTCCTAAGCCCAAGGTAAGAAGTTCAAAACTACTCAGCTGTACCACAGGAGAAAGATGAGACTTTCTGCTCTTACAAAGATTCACAGCCTTGGAAACCCTATACAGGGTCGCTGTGAGACGGGTCTGACTTCACAGCACATAACTACCACCACCACCACCAGCTCCCTGAAGTTAGCCATTCTGAAGAAAGTGGGGGTCCTTCAGTTAGCTGGGTAATGTGTGCAGTGTGTGGGAACCCTGTAGTGGGTGCTGGTGGAGGAAGGACAGGATATAAAGTTGGGAGAAAACTTGACCTTTGTTCACTTTGAATTCAAGAGCAGGGGTTTTGTTCACTGCTATTTCTTCAGTGCCTGGGGCATGGTGGGTGCTCAGGAAATATTTGTTGAGTAAATAGGTGTTCTTGGGAAAGAATTATTACTAGAGTAGAGTTGACTGATTGTGCACTGATAAAGTGCTTGGCAACTAACTGAAAACCGCCTGTGGCTCCATGGGAGAAAGTTCTGGGGATCTGCTCCCATAAAGATTGTAGCATAGGAAACCCTTCAGCGCAGTTCTACTCTGTCACATGGGATGGCAGTGAGTCCGAATTGACTCACTGGCATTGAACAATAACAGCTGACTGGAAGCATGCCCTTCCCTTGTTTGATAAGGATGGGGGGTGGGGGTGTCAGTGTAGGGAGCTGGTATGAGAACCAACAAAGTTGAAACCTGGGAGACGTATTTGGCCTGAGCCCTCTTTGCTGCCTCCAGGTGAGTAGAGAAGGACTCCCCCATAGAGGTTCAGCAGGCGAGATCCAGGGCCCCAGCACTCATCTGGTTGTTCCCAACCACATAGTATCGCTTCTCTCCCCCAAATCCCATTCTTCTGCACTCCTGTGGTTTTGCTTCTGGGCTTGGTTTAGCTTTACAGTTGATCCAAGAAATTGTATGGGGTGGTGAAACCCAATTGTTCTGTGTTCTTGGTACAGGTAGCCTACCCAGACTGTAGCCCAATTATGATCCTCTCAGAAGCCTCCTTGGCAGATCTGAACACCAGACTGGAGAAGAAAGCAAAAGTGGAGCATTTCCGGCCAAATATCATGGTGGCAGGCTGTGGTGCTTTTGAAGAGGTAAGCAACCCACTGCCTTTTCCTCTGATGTGCTTCTTAAGAAGCTTAGAGTACCAGCTGGAGTCCTGGTGTGGTGCTGTGGTTAATGTGCTGGATTGCAAGGTCAGTTTGAACGACAGGGTTGGTGGTTCAAGCTCACCAGCTGCTCCTCAGAAACCCTGTACAGGGTCTCTATGGGTTGGAACCGACTTGACAGCACTTAACAACAACAAGAGTACCAATTCCGATCCTCCAGGGTTGACAGTGGGGAAGTCTCTTCTTCCCCAAGATTCACCTTAACTTGATGGTACTGTAGTATATTGCTGGTGCATCACTTCTATGGCCACAGGGTGGTACTGATCCTTCCTTAATGCTCTGACCCCAAGGCAAACAATCATAAGTCCAAATTGAAACAAGTCTGAGACTTTGCGTGTTGTGTTAGTTGCCAGACAGTTAGCTGCTACTCATCAGGACCTTCTGTAGAAGTCCATACTCCTAATATTATATTCATGATCATGGTATGTTTGAACCCATTGTTGATTCTATTGTGGTAGTCCATTTCATTGAAGCTTTCCCTCATTTTTTTGCTGACTTTCTACTTTACCAAACATGATGCTGTTTTCTAGTCAATAGTCTTTTCCTGATGATGCGTTCTAAGTAAATGAGTCGGAGTCTTGCTATCCTTACTTTTAAGGGACATTCTGGTAGTATAACTTCTAAGATTGATTTGTTCATTCTTTTAGCCATCCACGGTGTGTTGATTATTCTTTGCCAACACCACAGTTTGAACACATCAATTCTTCTTCTGTCCTCCTTTTTTCACTATCCAACTTTTATATGCTTACAAGACTATTGGAAAGACCAAGGCTTGGACCAGCCACCTTACTCATTAAAATAACATTATTTACTACTAAACATATCTAAAGAGGTCATTTTCAGAATGCAAAGCATCACTTGATTTCCTCCCTGTGGCCTTCATGGATATTGACTGCTGATCCCAGTAGGATGAAATTGTTGACAATATAAAATTTGAGTCTTTGATAGAGGATATAATAGTAGCTCAGGCATAACTAAGAAAAAAATTAACATGAAGAGAAAAGAAAACCCAATAGTTGGACACACAGGTGTGGTTTACTCATCTTCTCCTTTCCTGTGCCACCAAGGAGTGTTCCCCAAAATCTGAGACTCCTGGAAGTACCAGATCCCCAAGTAGAGGCCAAGAGGATACATTTCAGCTGTGAATGGTGTCCCCTGGAGTTCCATGCAGTGGCCCAAGTTTTCTCCCAGGAGACCCACATTCTCTCCTATGTAACTGACACAAAAATGTCCACCATCTTTAAGGATGTCATTCATATAGGGACAGCCACATCAGAGCCTGGTAGTGCTCCTGAGAGCTGTACACAAATACATAGAGCTGGCTGTTACTTTATAATATACAACAGCAGACACACTAAGCACTGGAGGGTGGGCTAAAATTCTGGAGCACAGAAGACAACAACTACAAATACCATTGATTGGGTGTTTCCCAGGGGCCAGACACTGAATTAATTAATTACATCATACAAATGATTTTTATTTGTAAGTTTATTTACAACAAGGCTGTGAGTTCTGTATAAGAAAACGAAGATTCAGAGGGCCTAAATAATTTGTCCAGAATATAAGTAGTGATGGTGGCATTGGATCCTACCTAACACTTGTAACCCCAGATTCTGTGATGCTAAGGTAATGACTTCAACTGAGAAATTTCAAGTCATTAATTTTGAATAACCTCTCTCATTTCGTCATTCCCTTGGATGACCACATTTCTTTTTTGTGTGACTAAAATGTGCCTTTCTTTTTTGGCAGATGTCCTTTAGTATACAGCCGTGGACAGATACTTGTACATGTTATTGTTAGTTATCATTGGGTTGGCTCTGATTGTATAACAGAAAAAAAAAAAACCCTGCCCGGTGGCCATCTCCTTTATCTTTGATAGTTTGAGCCCATTGTTGAGGCTGAACTGTCAGTTGTTCTCATTGTGATTTTGATGACCGTCTGCTAATGGCCTTTTCCTGCAATTGGTCTTTCCTGATGACAGCTAAATTGAGTTGAAGTTTCTGTATCTTCACTTCTCAGAAATATTCTGGTTGTATTTCTTCCATGGATCACAATAGAATGTTCTTCAATTTTGTAGTTGTAGGTACAGACCTTTTGTACAGGGTCACTATGCGCCAGAACTGACTCGACAGAACTTACTTAGCAACAACAATAAAAGGTACCTTACATGGTTTGGTGTTTGTTTAAAAATAAAATCTGTGCAGTAGGTAAGTGGTAGTGTATCTAGAAATCATCTGTTTGTTGATGCTTCCTGTCATTTGTTGTCTCATTTTTCTAATTCTCTTTTAAATTGTATTTTTATTGCTTGTCTATTATGGAACAAACACTGTGTCTAGAAGCTCTGGGCACAGAGATGAAAAGACGTGGATCCTAGCCTTTAGAATTTTTCAGTATGCTAAGAGTCATGGTCATGAAGTAATAACAGCCCAGTGTGTGAGGTGCTTTATCTCACCAATTTAGAAGATGTCAGGGATACTGAGAATTAGGAACAACTTAATTCTATCTAGAGAAGGGAATGTGTCAGGGTGGGGAGGGACCTGGTCCAGCTACTCAAATGTGGTGTAGTTGGCCTAAATCTGAAAAATGGCTGGGAGTGTGCATACCTGTGAGTAGTGTCTGTGTAGATGAGAGTAAATGCTGGGCCATCTAGGTGCAGAAGACAGCCACTTGGAAAGATCAGGGACCCAAGAGTCTATGACATGTTGTTAAGTGCCATCACGTTAGTTCCAATTCACATTGGCACCCTGTATAGGGTTTCCAAGGAGTAACTGGTGGGTTTGAACTGCCGACCTTATGGTTTGAAGTCCAGCGCTGACCTTACAGCATCGCATCAGGAATCCATAATGGGTGCCAATGAATATTTCACATTGGGAAATATACCACATTGGGAAAGTCCCTGAGTGACTATTAATTAAAAGGTTGGCTGTTAGAATCCACTCAGTGGTGTCTTTGAAATGAAGACCTGGCAATGTAACATGCAGATTATAACCAGGACAACTCTCTAGAGAATTCCAGAGAAATTGTACTCTGTGACACATGGAGTCACCACCGTAAGGTAGAATGCACTGGATGGCAGTGTGTTTGGTGTTTGGTTTGGTGGAACACTGAGGGTCGGGAGAAGTTGCAGGAGGCTGCTCTGTGCACTAGCTGGAGGCCACCACAGACGATTGGATTTCATGTTATGAATATTGAAGAGTTGGTCATGATTTTGAACAAAGGAAGTCTTGATCATTGCATTCATTAATAGATACCTACTGAGTGCCATGGAGTCCTAGTGTGGCACTGTGGGTTAATGCAGAGTCCGTTTGAACTAGAAGGTTGGTGGTTCAAGCTCACCAGTTGCTCCTAGGAAACCCTATACAGGGTCGCTAGGAGTCAGAACTGACTCAACAGCACATAACAACAACAACAACTGGGTGCCTTAGTGTTCCAGGCACCATATTACTTTGTCAACTCTGCAAAATGGTATTGAAAAAGAGGAAATGCTGAAAAAATCTTTTTATAAAATGCAGATTAGCAGGCATTACCCCAAATATCCATCAGAATCCTTGGGGACAGGGGTTTGAATCCTCCTGGTGAACTAGAATCCAGCACTGTCCTTGCAGTTGATGACTGGAGACCCTGTGAATTAGGCGTTGGGATCGTGCAGGTGAGAGTCACAGAGAGATGAGGAAGGCTGTGGTGGTCCTTGAGAGGAGAGGCCCTATGGATTCTCAGGTGATTCCATCCAGGGGCAAAGGACCAGGACTTGATTTTTCTCCCTAAAACTAAATCCCAATTCCCTTAGACTTAGAGTTTATGCAATTTCTTTCTTTCTTTCTTTTTTGGTGGAGGAAGAGGTCCTCTTTAAGAAAAAGAAAATAATAAAAGCAAAATTAGGTACAAGGCCTTGAAAAGGGCTGATGCAAGTGACAGGCCCTGACAAGCAAGCCTCATCCAGTTTCCATGGCATTGACTCAAAGTAAACAGTGCTTTCTAGAGTTTTCAGTGGCTGA